TGAGAACCCTGCCATCGTCACTGTCCCTGCCACCATCACCACCGCCATCACCGTCTCGGCCACCAAGCCCGCTGCCACCAACCCTGCTGAGTACACCACCGTCACCGTTGACAAGACCATCGTTGTCCCCTGCGTCACATCTGGCACCACCGTTCCCGGCTCCTCCACCACCGCCATCATCAAGACCACTCTCGAGGTTCCCCACGTCTCCTTCGCCACCAACTCCGCCTCGGTCGTCGTTCCCGTCCCGGCTCCCTCTGCCCCCGCCGGAACCCCCGTTGCCCCCGGCGCGACTGCCTCTTCCCAGGCCCCGGTTGCTCCCTACCCTACCACCCCCGCCGCTGGCGCCAGCAAGACCACTCCCGTCGGCACTGGCGGTGCTGCCGTCCCTACCACCACTGGCGTCGTTGTCGCCGGTGCTGGCAAGACCACCTTCGGCCTCGGTGCCGTTGTTGCCATTGCTGCCCTCGCTGCATTCTAAGCTGGGTAACATGGCTGCTTTCTCCCCTCCCCTCTACTAAGATGAAACTTACTTGAGCGCGGAGGAGAGATGCTACCCCCCAAAATTTCCTTACTGTATCCAAGTCGCTGCACGCACACACAAATCTGTAATCTACAAGCCCGCAATTTTACATATCATTCTTACGATCCTTACGAAACAAACACATTGCATAGGTGGTTTTTTATAGGTCTGGAAACATTCGGTGTTAAAAAGGCTCTATATTCCCACATTTATCTCAACTTGGCCGCGAACTTTTAGAGCGCATCAGAAAAAAAGGGTGTTGGAAGATTTTTTATACCCCTTGGCTTGTTGGATTAATACTTAATTAGCTAGTTCCTTTCGAGAGGAATAGAAATGCGCTCTACAATGACTTTTTGGTTCCTCTTGCCTTGTGATGTGTTCCAATCCTCCGAGTACTCAAGTGACATTTCTAATAAATCTGTTAGGTTCGAGCTTGGTCGTACTGACTGTTCTACGTGAATCCGAGCATCCTGCTGCTACTGTCAAGGTCGCAATGAGTCATGTAACGTTGTAGTTGAGACGACCCCGGAAATGAGCCGTTGTAATGCGATCGATTCCCCTTTGTCCCATAACTGGTATGACATAAGGTAGATAGGGGGAGCAAAAAAGTTCATTTTCGTCTTCGCATGGCTCTCCGTGTTGAATCGAAGCTCACTTGCCAACTTGATAAAGTCCATCTGAAGTACGTATGCCCATAATTATGTTATACATTGGCCCGTCGATTGAGTGTTCACGGGCTCGCCGGGGGCGCATTGACCATGAACCCCCCTCCTTCCTCCTTCCCCCTTCCCCTCTCTTCACAAAAGGGAGAAACCATGGTCATCCGTCTGAGGGTTTTCGACAACCATAGTAGAATAGGCTTGCCTCGTCCGTCGGCCTAGCTGAGGATCCGTTTTCTAGGTATTGCCATTACTTGAGGAGCTTGGGTTCGGGTCTGGGTCGGGGATGGGATATACACTGGCGCCAGATCGTTGCAAGTTTGTATGTTCCCATTATTTTGTTTTTATGTTCTGCCTTTGCTGGCTGCTCGGGCGGTTCTCGATATCAATTGCACGGTATTAATACACAGTATTAGTGAATACTCTTACTATCTCGATAGACTATTTTCTAGATTTTCTACCTTTCCTCCTTTCTAACTTTCCTTCCTACAAAGTTCACAACCTAACCACGGATCGATTGACGGCGACGTTGGGCGCCCGATGCCCTCGTTGCCGTCGTTATTATTTGTTCTTATTTGTTTATATATTCTGCCTCATCGCCGTCAATAATCCGTAGTTATGAACTTTGCAGGAGGGAAAGTTAAAAAGGAGGAGGGAAATCTAAAAAAAAAAATAGTCTATCGAGACAGTAGGATACTCCTACTATCTCGATAGACTATTTTTTTTTTTTTTTTTTTTTTTTTTTTTTAGATTTTTTACCTTTCCTCCTTTTTAACTTTCCCTCCCGCAAAGTTCACAACCACGGATTATTGACGGCGATATTGGGCGCCCGACGCTACCACCTTGTGAGCCTGCGCCCACTTGGCTGAGTTTGCGGCCCTTCTAGGTGACAGCAGCTCACAACGGTGGCATCGGAAATGTCCTCGCCGTCGTCAAGAATAACGCCGCCCTCTGCAAGCACTGATGTCTGGCCTGGCACCTTCAACTTCAACTCGCACACACACACACACACACACACACACACACACACGCATTCGTTACCTCTTTACCTTTGTCGAAGTCGAAAAACGCTACTTCCCTCGCCGTCTACTATTATCGCGCTGTCGCTGTCGCTATCGCTGTCGCTGTCGAATCGTCTACCTCAAACATATACTGTCGAAATGCCGAGACGCCCACGCCCAGTGACTATCGACCCCTGGGGCTTCCTCGACGGCTGTTGCCATAATTGGCGCCCAGCTTATGCAACATGGCCTCGAAATGCCTGATCGACTCCAGAGTACTATCAATACTCTAAAATCGCAGCGTAGGAGTAAATTAGGAAAGACTAAAAGGGATATTCTAGAGTTGTTAAGTAGGGCGGAAAGTAGGGGGTAGTTTTCGGCTGTTCGGAAGGCGATTAATGTGTTGCGGCGGGGCTATTAGTATCTTAAGTTTGGTCAGTATCGACAATCGGTAACGGCTACGGCCGGCTATAGTCAGTTATGAAGTTTGGCACGCAATAATAAAGACACTCGATATTGATCTTGATAGATCAGCTTGCCCGTGAAGGCGAAGATGGCCCCCAATGAGGCGGGCTGGACCCCAAAGGGGTATGTCGTTTGGGAATTGAGCAAGCTGGATTGTTCCTGCGGAAGAGTTCCTGCTATGCTTGAGGTTCAGTTCGGGGCTTGGGGACTTGGATTTCCCATTCGGAGAGCCTAGCTCAACAGCGAATGACACAATCTTTTGAGATATGGCCTACACTCACGAAAGTTGTGTTCAGATATGGGCGGAGGTAAGGTAAAGAATGACTGATTGGAATGTCTGGTTCAACCTCGTAACCTACTTGTCTCAGGCTAGATTGCGTTGGTAGTTTGTTGGCGATAAACTTACCAGACTCATCCCATCTATGCGGACGATATGATATTTCCATTACTGAAATAATCCAAAGTGGAATAAATGTTTTTCAGAGTCAGAACCCCTGCCATATCGAAGAACAAGTACATGCTGCCGGGGTTGATCACCTGGGGCAGCTGTCTGGAATTCGTACCGCTGTAGCGATGTGAAATTGAAAGCGACATCAAGAAGAAATCTTTCCTAACGTACTGAGAAACGCTTTTCGGCCACCGAATGAGGCAGGTAACCTAATCATCACCGTACATACATCCATTCTGGAGAGCTTCAGAGAGAACCCAGTTGAGGAGTCGGGAACGCCTACATATTCAATCTCATGAAGGTGATATTCCCGGAATTTGACAGCCGCTTAAGATCGAGGGAGCATTCTTCACTACGGTCGATCATGTTACCCAAAGTTATCGACTTGATGGCCGGAAGCGTCTTCTTTGGGCTCAAGGCCTTCGATTCCATTCAACAGTTAAGGATCGCCGAGATTCTTACTTTCGCCAATCACTTCAGAGCTATCACATCTCACCCACGTTTTATTGCTCCAATCAATATTCTCATGATTTTGATGGAATATAAGTATAAATTAGAATGCTTGAGCTACGAGATGAAGTGTGATGAATGACATAATGTAGAAGCCGCCGTGCGGGATTAGATGCCGTTATAGGTCCATCGGACCTTTGAAGAGCCTATATATGGAACTACAGTGAATATCCAGCTCTACCTTACGGCAGAGCCAAAGCGATCTGTGCTACAATGTTCATTCGCCGTTCTTTCGTCGGCACCGGCCCGAGAAGTACGGTAGTAGCCCCACTTTTGCGGTGCCTCGGTCCCGGCTTCGGAGACGTTGTTGCACATGCCTCGGAGTCATTCCCCTCAGCCCGTCCAACAAGACCGCCCGTCGAAACAATATGTGGTCGACTTGTTCCCATTTTACCTGATACTTGAACAAGGCCAATAATTTAACCCTGAACTGTGCTTGATAAAGCGTTGAGCGCTATGTTGCGAGACGAATGGCGTTTTCTTGTCGTAGCCTTTCATTTTCCTGGTCATTTCCATGTGTGATCAATCCGACCGACTACCGAGGCCCCGCCTTGGCTCCAAGTTGAATCGTCTCAATACCGAGAACGAGGAGACCCAGCCGTAGTTACCAGTGGACGGGGCGGAACCCTCGCCGAAACCCGGCGCCGGAGCTCTCAAGGAGCAGTAAATCAGTCATCAATCTTTGAAATTTGGAGTCTGGTTTAGTACTTGATCGTGTGCTATTGTTGTACTTGATTTTGTAAGTTCAGTTGGCACCAAGCCATCTGATGGTGCCGTGACGCCCGGTTAGACTTTTGCAAGCCAGCTCATGCTGGCGAGATCGGTGTCTCAGGGAAGGGGGGTTGTGTATCCACTGTGGCTCCATGCCGAGTCATCAGTAACCAGTGAATTATGAGTATCCGGCGTGACTTTGTTGTGCACTTCAGCAGAAGATGTGGTCTTCGTGAAGTTTCTGGCGGAGGAGATGGTCCATCTTGTCGACTCGCATCGGCAGAGATGCCAGGCACTTCTTATTCTACGCCCCCAAGTATGGTTCAGAGTCCATACATTGAAATTTGGCGTCACTTTCGCCCACCTCTCAAGATATATTGGAAGCTAAAGCTTTCAAATGAGGCATAATGTAAAAATTCTCGCAGAGTTACGCCGTACTGTGAACATAAGAGTTTTCAAGACCTTAGCGTTGCTCTTTTTCACACAATAGACCTGACTACATGACGGACTTGGTTACACAAGAATCTAATAATTCATTGAAGCTAGACCTTTCACTCTCTCTATGTCCACGCAAATGCTCCTTATGATCTTACAGTTTGGTCGCTTGCTATGCAATCTCTAATGCTCATATTGTTCCCACTCTCTTAGCCTACACTTATTCAACCGCTGATATCACTCTGAGTCTAGTTCGTGGCGCAAGCAGTGTACTTCTGGGCAGCATCCAGAGAGCTATTGCATATTTAGTATCATTCTTCTTACATCAAGCGCTTCTTGACTCTGACTTACCAAGCGGTGATGCACGCGGCGTCCTTGTTGCACTTATCAATGCAGGCAACCTGGTCGGCTGCTGTCTGTGTCTCGCAGGCGGCGATGGCACCGGGGTCCTTTCTGGCCTCAAGAGTTGAGTCCATGGGAGATGTGGGTGCGGCGGCGACCATGGTGGCGGCGAAGATGGCGAAGACGGTGGAAAACTGCATGTTGGCGATTGAAGGTGGTAAGTGTCGTAGGTTTATAGGTTATGCTTGATGTTTTTCCTCGAGTTGTAGTACTTCGTTGGTAGTTTGGGGGCTATTCAATGTTGACGTGTGGAATGCGTCTTTGTTGGAACCTATAGTTATTTCGTTGTTGTGTGATTGTTTGATGCTGAGTAGAAAAAGTTCGGGGAGGAGGCGGGAATTCTACTCATCTATATAGATTTTCGCAACCCTCTCATGACCCAACATCCTTCACCTGCCTTACCGCTATCGACGCCCGTGTAGGAGAACGCTGGACTTGCAACCCTGCCTCTACAGGACGCATAGTCCAAGCCCAGACCACCGCAGGGCTCAGCCGAATGCGTGGGTAAGTGTATGTGCCGGACGTCACTTCACGGGAGACAGGGATATCTGACAGCAATGACAACCGCAATGATGTAATTCCCCGACATCCCTCTCCCTCTTTCTCGCTCTCACTTCAAAGCTTCAAGATCGTAGTGGGGACCAACGGATTGTCTTCAGCTCTCCGTATTCGGGTTCAGCTACGGTCGTCCGGGGTCTTCCCTTGGAAGGTCTCCCGGTTTGCGTGCCGCCGACTCCGCCGGGTCCGGATCAATGACCTGCGGTTCCCTCCTACGTAGTAGTAAGCGAATACCTTCTCGCGATCGGCTTCCGTATTAGGCAACTAGAAGGAAGTTTGTTGGGTGTAAATCCATACAGGCGCTGTCCGGCAGTCCGTGCATAGCCTACCAATTACCTACCGCTATTCATGCAAAGGCAGGAAACATCAGACGACACAACTTGCGGCTGGCACCTCGGCATAGGTTTCTTACCGCGGGTCGTTCTGTGACGTCGCGTGGGCTGATTGAGTTATACTTGAGACGAAAGCGAGAAAAAAACGGCCAACTATAGCAAGAAGTTCCAGTATCCAAGTCGTCGGGCTTTACTTCCTATGGTCATGGTGGAGAACCACACAAACCACTGCCTCGGGTCAAGCCTTCTCGTGCGAACAGCTGAAAGTGGGAATCTCCCGACTTGAGTGGCTTCCCTATCCTGGGTTAGGTGACGTTGGGCAGAGAGGAAGACACCGTTCAGATGAGTTTGTTCCGTTGTTGCGGCTTCTAGACCGGACCCCGTTGCGAACGACTATGTCGTGAGGCTTGCGGTGGCGGGGCGGTGACGTTTCTGTGAACTTTGTAAAGAGGGCTGGCTTGGTACCGGGCTATGTCTGTTGATTTGGGCCGAGGAGTGCGGGATCTGGACCGGCGCCGATGTAGTGTTGGTCGTGATGGCTATGATAGCATAGATCCGCGGCTACGAAGCGGTGTTGTAGACTCTATAGGTACTCTATTCCGAAAAGTTGCAGTAGAGCAGTGATTCTTGTTCTGACTGACCTTCTCATCTGACCCATTACATCAGCAATCACCAAGAATCCATGATATTCAGCTACTCAATCCCAAACTCGAATAACGCAGATCAGACCATACGTCGTCTTTACAACCCCTGACCTCTACTAAGTTAAGTAATCACCTGTAAAGAAAGCCTCACTAGCGGTTTCCGGAAGTGACTACGAGCAGTGGAGCGTACAGTAGGGTTAGTCTTCCGATCTAGAGAAAAACACGCATAACGTTTAAAGTTACCGGGGACGATTCCCGAGTCTTCCACAGCCCATACACGTTTCAATGCGCACTCCGGCCACGTCCCCTCCTCCGAGGTGCCAAGAATTTGTGGACCGCACCCGTTGAGTCCGGAGTACATGTGATCGTCCGCTTCGTCCGGGGTCCATGTGCCCAAAGGTAATCCGGCGGTGCGGAGGACGGGATGACGGATATGACGCTATATGTATGATGTGGAGGACGAAGGGTAGCATGACGTATCTGATGTGACGACAACCTCAACTTCAGAGGAAATACTAAGAGACCTGGGTATGTCGATCAATTTGAAGACTTATTGCAGCAAGCGTTAGCTAAATGATGACATGGCAATATTCGAGAGCCTTCGGAAGGGGCTTTGAGGTCAGGAAGAAAGCCCATGATCATAAGTCAAAAGATTGGTGACCTGGACTGACATACCACTGAGCCAGGTGACCATAGATCCACAAACATGTATTGGAACACTGCCCTCGGTTACATGGAGCCTCCAAGATTGACAGAATAGTCCAGAAAAACTCTCGCTGCTTACTTGACACCTCTCACACGAAGAAGGGCTAAGAAGCTAATCCTTCGTTTGAAATGTTTATGATGTTTGTAATGTTTGCTGACAATCCAGGGCCGATCCGTCTCGACAGGCCAGCCGAGCTATGACTGATAACATTAAACTGGTAAGTATGTAGTAAAAAATATAATGGTATGTGCCGATTAAGTGGTCACCAAGTTGGCGTGACGTCTTTCAATCTCGCCTCCCCCACTAAATTCGCATATGCTCTGCCATCAAGCGTCGTAAATGCCACAATATACCGCGCCGCCTGCCCGCACAACGCCCGAAAACAGGGATATTCAACTTCGTCTACCTTCGCTCCTTTTTATGAATGTAATGCTGTTTTTCCTTTCTTTCTTTGCTTATTGGCTAGTCGCGTCCAGATTCGCGTCCAGAGTCGGAAGCGTAGTCGTCGACGAGGCTTTGCATCTCAACGTCGTGTATCCTGCGATTCTGGATGCGCTTCTCCATGGGCTCTGCTTGTTCAAGAGAACCACGACGGCCCCAGTTGCGAGGTTGGCGCTTGAGGAAGGCACCGACGGAGCCCAGGTAGCCCTCATGACGGAGGAAGTAGGCCTGCTTCTTGCCTTGAGACCAAAACTTGATGGCGTAGCTGAGGGTATTGATCGTTTGCCTATGCCCGCGAATGAAGGATCCTCCAAAGTAGATGTGGTCCAGGTTGTGGATTTGAGATTGGAGGAAGGCGATCTGGCCAATGTTGTTGGATATCGCATATAGCAGCGAACGCGAGACATCTGCCCCAGAGAAGGGCTCTTCTGAGGAGTGCTCTGCTGCTCCCTGAGGGCCATCTTCAGCTGAGGCTTCCGGTGGCGGAGACGTGTTCTTGTTATCGCCATTGTGCAGTCCACCGTGGTCTTCCGCTTCATTCTCGGCCGTGCGCTTCATGCGGAAGACCTTGCCAAACGACGATGCAATTGTGGTGCTCTTGAGGCCAATTTTGCCGTAGTCTCCCCCGTAGATGTCGCCGACAAGCATGTCGACTTTGGCATTATCCCCCCGCTCTGACAGGTCGAGCATCTCATCAAAAGTGCGAGCGCCCGTCAGGAGGGAGAGCAGGCCCCAAAGCGTACCACCGCCGAGTGAGGTTCCGCCTACACGTTGGTATTGGCGGGGCCCGGAGACCTTTAGCATCGAGACGCCAGAACCTATGTTGACGAGGAGGTAGGGGTAAATGTTTTCTGAAGGTGAGACAAAGTGCATAGGGTCGGTTTCGCTGTACGTGAAGACTTCGCGGGGTATCTCGGTAATGAAGAAGTCGAGGCCTTGGAGGTAAGTTAGCAACCCTTGAGCATGCGCCGAGGGGTTTGCGAGAACTTACCAATTATCAAACATTCCATCTCTTCCTCGCGCAACACATCTACGCCCAGGACATCCCGCATCTTATCGTAGAACTTGAAAGCGCCGCCTCCTGTCGCCATAACGCTCAATTCGTTCGGTTGAGAGCCATTGAGGGTCTGCTGCTTATCCTTAAGGTGGCGCATGAACTCAATGCAGTCGTCGATGCGATCGGTCTCGAAATTGAGAAAGTTAAGACGACCGCCGGGCTCGGTGGAGTGCGCCTCGCGCGTAAAGTAGACGAGCTTGATCAAGGAGCCGCCAATCTGCGCAAACAAGGGGATTAGCAACCAGACAAGAAGGGGAAGCAGGTAAGGGCAGGAGGGAGTCGCATACGTCAACGGCGATATGGCTCACGACGGCATGGTGGTTGGGCAGGCGAATATCGCTCGTCTCGTGGTGGGTCGGGGAACCTCGGCCATTGCTCCTCGGAGAACTCGAGTCCGGATCGACGATGAAGGCGCCCTTGACATTGATGCGGACGGAGCCCGGCCGGATTATGGTGTTATCGATTTCCTCGGTGCTCGTCATTGTCCGGGCTCTGGTGCGGATGTCGGCGCCGGCCAAGACTACAGGCTCGGAGGGGTTGTGTTCGCTGTCGATGGTGTTGTTGAGAGTGTTGTCGTTGTCTTCGGGTCTGGAATCATCTATGGCAGAGCCTCCATGATCAGGCGCGGGGCACATGCTCGGTCTTTATTTGGAAGTGTGTGTGGTTGTCCGGCGCGCGGAGGGCCAGACGGAAGGAGAGAGGTCGGGTGGCTTGGGAAGGCGCAAGTCATGAACTTGGGAAGGGTCCAAGAGCTATGTTCGTAGCCGTTCGCGAGGAGCACGGAGGACGGGCTGGGGAGGTTGCGTCGGACGGTGTTGCGGTTATTCGGTGCTGGACTGGTGTCGGCGCAGGGTTCGCCTTGCGCTGGGCGTCAGTTCGCTTCGGAGTTGAAGGAGGGGGGAAAGAAGCTCGGCGGAGGGCAGAGAGAGGAGTGTTTGTCGAGGGCTTTGGGATTGTGGAACGCACTCGACGAATTTCAGTTGAACGTGACTAGGACCCTGGGCCGATAAAGCTGCAAGGCAAGTGATACCTCACAATTTATTAGTACCTCAAGTTACCCCCCTCCTTTTCTTCCCCCTTCAGCGACAAAATGCGCGCGCGACCCCCGCGTCGTATCTCCGGAAGGTTCGTTATCGATAAGCGGCAGGTCAGATGTACTATTTCCTATCTGGGCAAGTGCCTAGGCACTTTCTGGGGATTCGGCTAACGGAGCTAGGACCTAGGTACTTACCTTAGGGGCTTTACCAAGGTCCCTTCCCCTACTAAAATACTGTCAACCTCTCAGGGTTGGGAAGTTCCAACTTGTAGGTCAGTGGAGGTGGGTTGTTGAGGTCCCCAATGCCGCTGGACCGAGGCTTTCGGGGTACCTCAAGGTAGGTAATCAATCGCCAGTGAAGCCCATCCCCTCATCATCGTGTAGCCATACTTCCTTTTCTCCGCAAGAATTCGGAAATGGACATGGACTTCGTCATTCGTGCGACGTTACCTCTAGCTTCTTCGGCAGCCATGCAGAAGACCTTGTCAACCAATCCGGCAGCCGACCCGATTGTGCCGCCGGCCGTCGGTGTGGCTGTCGTTGTGTTGTGGGTAAGCCAATCGACTGCGACCAACTGTAATCCTGAGATTGCCGTAGGTTCGATCAATACCTATCAAGCCTCGACCTGCATTTCAGCGTTGGACGCGCTAGGTACTCCCAACGGGTTCTTCTCAGCATCACATGCCACTTGCCCAGTGCAGCTCAATTGCCACAGCTCTCAAAAGTCGAGAAAGAAGCTCACATAAGTCTTACTGTCAGCAACCATCTCGAATTCGGTCTTGGGCCCGAGCCATGGGATGCCGCCACGCCATTTGACCAGCCGTGCGATTACTCTCCAGATGAACACCAGCTCAGGTAATCCACCGGGAAGGATTTGTCCTAGCGCCGAAATTGTAGAAAGCCGCCTACAGCGCACAGGACTTGGCTCGTCAGTGTGTAATCTTCAAGGTATTTAGGTAGCTACTAACTCATTTCACTCTATGTAAGCATGCAAGGAAATAGCACTTGAATAAGCTATGTTTTGGTATTGTCTGTCTCCTCATCAGTGACCTCTGCACTCATAATGGTAGGAGGAAGATTCCCCTCGGTTTTAGTGCCAACGGGCAACCCCGTCAGCGAGCTACCGGCCGGACGGCAGATGGGCCCACAAAAACACGGCGTCATTTGACATTGGGTCCGGTGACCCCCGATTCAAGGGAAGACGAACAGGAGCCAAATTGAACAAAGAACTCAGGACCGCCCAGAGGTACCCCTTCATTTCAAACGTACTCACCAATTGAACATGCCTCTTCAGATACAATACTCATTAAAGACGTTGTCCCTGAACAGCGGCCGGGTCTCACAGTCCGCCCAGTTTTACGCACTTCTCGTGGTGTCAATGAGCAAAGGTGAAGCGGCCCGCCCCTCATCTCTTAAATCACACCCATATACCTTGGATGTCCTCTAGCGTGGCTGGAATGTGTCTTCTCGAAAATACAACGGTCAGTCTTGCCATGATCTTCTCAAGGACCGTCGCCAATCTCTAGCTCGTTCAAAAAATATCTTCATCGAGAGTGACTCAAAGATTTCCGAGGATGAGTTTTCCACACTCCTTTCCTCACAACGATGGCCGTGCTCCGTCACACACCATAATGCCTCAGAGCCATCGCCTACAGGATCCATTCACACCTCTTGAGGACCGTCTGTCGTCTCAGCTCCAGGGACCTCGGATGAATACGTCGCACTTCGACTCTCAGGCACATCCTATGAGTCTCCATATTCTTCATCCCCAGACTGATCCCCGCTACGTGGTCCCGCCTGACTACACTATACCCAACGTATCACCTGGGCATCCTCAAGATTATTACCAAAGCCAGGGACCTAAGCCAATCTTCCAACCTCTTGGGCCAAGTTTTCGCACAGAGCCAGCCCAAGAACCTCTGCCATTTGAAAGACCACCTCCAGATCAATTTGCAAGTAACAGGTACGAGGACGCAGTATATTTTGACGAAAGGGAGAACGACTCCCTGAACGATGACAGAGGCACCAGATCTGCCATAGGCGACTTCCAATACACCAACGACTGGGCCCAGAATAGACTGAGAAACCCGCCGGAGCGGTCTGGCCAGAGTTCTCGAAACTACCCAAGGAAATCGAGGGACTTTGAGCACGATGACCCTCGAGATCGCGCCATGGGCAGCGAGAAGGGACCTCTTTGGAGTTACCAGGACATCAGCCGGACTAGGTCGGACACAGCAGAAGGATGGCGGCAGCGGGCGAGTTTTTGCGCGCCTCAAACTAGGGAAGAAAGGCATTCCGAACAAAAGCAGATGCTTGGTTCTGAAAAAGGTGGTGGAGGCCAGGAAACAGCAATCGATTTAGGAAGAGAAAGGCGTTTTCAAGGAGAGATGGAGAGAATTACCCAAGAACAATGCAGAGGCGCTCGAGGGTCACGCCTTTCGAAATGGGCCTCCTCCGTTACCAGGCCGATGGCTCCCAGGCGACGCGGTTCAGGGTCAAGCCGCTCGACTTCACCCGATGAAGCCATTGATAATTATCAGCGGGGGCCTGTCGCTTAGAAGAAAAGCAGCGTTTGCCAGAGCTTCCGCCATGACAGAGGGAAGCCTTGAGTCATGTTCAAGAGCAATTCGAGGGCTGTCCAACCACGAATTATACCTCCTATAAGTCTACGATTTCGCGGCGAGGTGGGTTCGTTGCTTCATATAGCATCTATATAGCATTTCACACATTAGAGCGCAGTGCAAGCTCTTTCGATGCTGACAGTACTATCGGGCTGCCTTGGTCATTGGCTGCTGAGCCTGTCTCGACAAGTATGGAGATAGTTATCCGTGGCGAAGGCTTGTCAGAGACGTGTAAACAGGAACAGCAGAACGACTCCTGATACTCAACTTCTGAACTAGGGGTGGAACTTATGGCAACGACAGGGCCCTCGAATCCACGACTACCTCTCGGATGTCGAGCATCACTCTGAGAACATCTATGAAAATTTCCGTCTACATCGGGATTTATCTTGAGCTGGTTCAAGAGCCACCGTTCGTAGCGTATCTCAAGGGGTTCTACTGAAGCTAGGAGTGACACTGTCTACAAGCGATTACTCGTTATACGCCTCGCTTTGCTTAGGAGCCGCACCACTATATTAAAGGCCAAGTCCTCAAACTTAATCTCAAGGCTTGTTATTTTATCGACTGAGCGTGATGTATCACAGGCTTCTGCTCTTCGCAAAAAGGCTCGGCCCTATAGACTCGAGAAAGCTAAGGTTAGCGCCATGGTTGAATGTCTATTCACAGGCTTCTCACTACTTGCTTACCCTCGAGTCACAGCCGCATCGTTAAACATGGAACATGGTGCTATATGTGGAATCATCTGAGCAGAAGTAGGATATCCGCCTGAATTTTGCAGTGGTCTATTGGGGATCTTGAGATCCAGTGATTTGGTTCTTCTATATCGTCCTTTGAACTCGGGTCCAAGGACCTCCGGCGCAGTGACTCGCGACCCCAAAGGCCACGAACGAGAATCAGTATGGACAAAGGACTGAGGTCCACCCAAAACACACCTGAATTCAGGCAGCCAAGATATCATAGCCGGCAAAGCATTCGGTCAAAAAGGCTTTACCTGAACAGGAGTCGATGCCGATTTTTTTCTCCCAAGTACCCCGCATGTTGTTCAAATACTAAAGAGTGAACAAGTGTCTTTGATGCATGGACTTGAATAGACATCTATATAAAATCAACACAAAGTGGTATGTTGAGGGTGATATGAATAATCTTGTTGAGAACTGGACAGGAATCGTCAGAACTGCAATCGTTTGCAAGAAGCATCTTCATCGTCAGCGGCATAATATAGTATCATAAGGATGAATTCACCACTTCGAGGTGAAACCGGCTCTACCAAGTACCCTGACTACCACCACTGCAACAAAAAAAACTGCCCTCACAAATCTCATTTGGGAGACCTGAGTTCAACATACAACGGGCCGCCGCACTGCAATGGACGAGCTTCAGGTTGCGAGCACCCAGACCATTTCAGCCCTGAAGAACTCGAGCAGCGAGTACGTGAACATGCATCGAATTCGGTGATACTGAATGACGAGGGTGTCCCGGAGGACATGTTACCAAAGGTCCAATCCAGAAGCCGGGCTCGAATCGCCACGAGAACACACATGAAGGATCAGCCAATGTCGGCAGCCGGCTTACAAGAGTATAGAGAGATACACCCCTATGCATTGAGAAGAGAACCAACTTGGGATACTAGACTGAACCAAGGATTTGTCTCACACGATACGCCTGAATTCCCACACCATATGCCTGGACACCCACACCATATGCCTGGTCTCCCGCACCAAATGCCATCTGTCCCGATGAGCACGATGCGAGATGATGCCCCACCAATGACAGGCTACGTATGGGCCCGGAATAGTCGGAATTTTCCGAATCAAGGACATTCGAATGTATATGTCCCATACAAAAGGGGCCGCGTAGATTTTCTAGGGAGCCAGAACTCTCAGACTCCCCCGAATGATCATCGCCATTCACCATCGTACCACGAAGAGGAGTATGAACCGATTCCAAGGAACCAAAGTGTTCCGCGTCGCCCGAATCAGGGATTCCAACCGCCTCTGACCCAACACCACGATACACGACAGCATGCACAGAAACGACAGCGTAGGCAGAGAAGCAGATCGGATTCAACGGAACAGAATAGTCAGGTTTTTGAGGATCCGGCATCCTGGCCGCCTGGGACTCGAGATCCATATTCGGAATCGCGCGAATCGGGGGGATACGGACTGAATCTGATGCAAGGTCAGCAGCTTCAACCAGTAATTCATGAAGGTGATAAAGAAACAAGGCCCCGACGACACCGGAAAGGGTCCAGAAATGGGGGGGGATTGCAAATAGATGAGATGCGCCCAGAAAGCGTGTGTGACGGGTCGGTAATGATAGGGGAAGTGAGCACAGTATCGACTCGCCCACCCCGGTAGTATCTTGGGGCTGGTCCATATCAGCACTTCATCCAAGATAGTAAGTAGCAAGACGTTGAAGATGCTGCTTGGTGCGCACGTTCGTGTCGAAAACTTTGGCGGTTAAGCCGTTGAATTTGTTTTCCTAGATGCTTTAAGAAGCCCAAGCTCACCTTAGTTAACGCACCCCTCTACGTACTTGCAAAATTGATCAAAGCCGCAACTTCAATATATAGTGAGTGTTGGTGTGCAGTCAGTGGAGCTTCCCTTAGATGTTGTGTGATGTCGTTAAGTTGATATGATCATCGCCTCTGCTTTTACGCAACATGATTGAGGTTGAGATTGGTGAAGCCTGCGATGTTTTGATTGGGCATTCTATGCAGCTTACATGTCACCATTCCGGTCAGCCGCATCGTATGCCGAGATATCAACCTCGCGAAGTGTAGAAGCGGACGGTCTTGGAGGAACAAGCAGGGGCAGTAGTCAGTCAGTTCTGACTCCTTTCCCAAAGAGAAATTCCGATACCTGAATCATATCACTGATTTTCTACCTCTCTATCACAAGGCTCCCTCGTCTACTGAGTCCTTTCTCAATTCGACCGAATCATTCCATGGTGCAAACCGGGCCATGCCGACAGCCAAGGCAAATCAAGCCTCTGACCTCTCCTAAAGTACAAAGTTCTCCTTCCCCCAAGAAAGAAACCTTCCTGTTGGTACCTCCCATCGAAACCCCGCTCCGTCCTAATGCTCATGAAGGGTATTTCCAAAAGTCTCCCCATCGAAAAAAAAGATGCCTCCGCAGAATACTTCAAAACGCCGGAGCCCCCTCTCTCTCGCCGTGAGAGCCAAGAGAAAAAGATAGAGAGCCTAGTAGCTCTTTCCGAACACCTCATAATTTCAATAACGAAATCCCCTTTTCCCCTTTCATGAAGCCGGTAATGTAAAGAAGAAGAAGATGATGATACGCCCCTGAAGTCCATGGTAACATGCACCCTTTCGTCGCGGCCTAACAGCCTTGGGTATGCTCCGTCCGTTCCATCGTCTAAAGAGCAAGTTGCAAAGCCCTTGCTGGGCTGAAGATACTGTCGTCTGTTTTCTGTTGTCTGTTGTCGGTCATTACAAAGCATCAAGTCGTGATACGCCCCTCCTCTGTCCTTCTCGTCCCCTACTCAAGTCGTGCATGTTGTTTGAGCCAACAACCGTTTTCAAATAGAGGTACAATGGTGATTTTCTCCATAAGCCGATGAAGCGAAATCCCATTTCAACGCCATAGGAAATCTGACGGCTTCACCGGCCTCCCCGTAGCATGCGAGATAATCCTCACATTCTCGCACGCGTCCTCAAAGTCGTCGTCCATGTTGTACTCGCGGTAATACCACCCGCCTGTCCGCGGATCCCAGAAGTCCCGTCGGTGCAGCTCGGGCGTGTGAAGGCCTAGATACGACATCCACTGCGTGTGCTCGCGCAGGATGGCCGGGCTGCTGACGTCCTCAGGCCCGAGGACGGTGTTGATGGGCTGAGAGATGGATTTCTGCCCACGGGCGTCGCGGTCGTTGAACATGAGCATCAGGCGGGAGGCGATTTCCTTGTCGATTGCGCTGAGGGGTTGGCCGTGCTCGATGCGAGCTGCTAGGGATGTCAAGTAGGATTTGTGTCCGTTCTTTCTTGGAGAATGGAGATGGGCCTGATAGTTTGTTAGACCTTTTTCCTTGGGTTCAAAGATGGTGCGCGTTAGTGGGCGTCATCGACTGTCCTCATACCTTCATCTCTCGCCGGGTGTCCGTAAGGAACGGGCAGTTGTCCATGATGCACCGATAAATCTCCTTGAGGTAGCCCGGCTCGGCCACCGGGGGCGGACAACAGTGGGTCGTCGGCTGCGAGTCCGGCAAGAAAGACACCGGCCGGCACTTTTGACAAAGGCCCCGGACGCACGGCTCGTTTCCAGGTCCTTCATGATCGAGGTAGTAGTGTAACTGGGGGTCCCCGGTACTGTCAACTCATAAAGTTCACCTTAAAAGACGGGTTCGTCTTAACCCCAAAACGGCGCGCATCATAGAACGTACCTCTGAGCATCCCGGCCGAGAGAATCCGGGATCCCTCCGTGCATCTGCCGGATTTGGCTGCGCGTCTTGTAAGCGTGTGTTGCTCTCACACGGACATTATGTGAATAGGGGCCGAATATGTTAAGGCGGCACGTACTATCCTTAGTTCAATCCGGTCCTTTTGACTGACATCGCCCCGAATCACCTTGGCGGGCAGAGGCATGGCGTTCCATCGCAGACAACACATGGAACAGACGTACTTCCTCGGCCACCCAAAGTTCCCCTGCGCGTCCGCCACGGCCTCTGATTCCTGACACCGCCACCCAATGCCGTTACCGTACTCGTGGCGGCTGCCCGAGAGGCCGTAGTAGTCGATACTCCATCCGGTCTGGATCTGGTCCCCGTTGGCCACGGACCGCGATCCGTCCACCTCCGTCGGCAGAGAAAACTCCTGTGGCGCCGGACGGCCCACGGCGTTGCCGAGATAAAACCCTGTGTCACCGTCTACGCGAACGAGAACGTGACGCGGCTGTGAGGGCTCGGCGGCAGAGAGGTCGAACGGGTTGATGATCCCGGCAGGCGGAACCGGAGCAGACGGCTGTTGAGCCGCTGGTGCGGGATATGTGCCGTCGTTGGTACCGCCTTGGCTGCTGTGAATATTCCCGCTGCCGTTGCCGCCGCCGGGGCCGGCGCTTGCTGCACCTCCTCGCGTGATGGCCGCAGAGGCCGGACCACCAGTGACATCCGGTGCTTTACCAAAGCGGGGAGGTCCCGTGCCTTGGCGGCTGCTACTGCTAATACCACTGCCGCCGCCGTGGCTGTTGTGCGATGGTATCAAAGAAGCAGCAACTCCAGGCAGCTCTCGTTCTTGTGGCTGGGCCTGAACGGCAGCCGGGCGTGTTGGTGGCCATTGTGGGCTATACATGAGAGACCCATGATGTGGCGAGGGAAACGGATGGAAATCACCTCCCCCGAGAGAATTCTGATGCCCGACGAATCGATTGGAGACTGTCAGGCTCATGTTACGCGGGGGGAAAGATGTTGTGCTCCTGGAGGGTGCTTGAAGTAAAAAGGCGGCAGAGCCGGGGACGAAAAGGACCCCAAATTGTCTGGTCTGGTCTGGCCTGGTTGTGCTTCGTTTCCTGGGTTCCTGGTTCCTGGGTTCTGGTTTCCTGTTGTCCTGGGGCGTTTACGTATCTGACAGCTTGTTCTTCTCACGGGATCTTAAGCTGTGAAAGTGTTTTGATTGATGCTGCTGATGCTGGCCTGCTGCTTGCCCACGGGTAACTGCAGATGGTAAAGGGAACACAAAGTACGGAGAGAGGCGAAGAGAAGGGACGGGCGGAAGCGAGTCGGGTCATGTACGATGGAGCGGAGAGATAGATCTTAGACAATCAACGCGTGCTGGGAGTGGATGGAAGTTGTGTACAGAGTTGTACAAAGAGTTGAGCGGAAGTGAATGCAGTGAAGAAAAGACGGGAGATGTAGGAGGAGATTCTGATTGAATGACACCCCCCCTGCGCTCACGATATTCTGGTTCACTGGGCTGGACGACTTCCGACGCTGGGCTGGGCATCGGGGGATCGGGGGGGAATCCCTCAAGAATCAAGGTACCATCCAATGAACCCAATCGCAATTCCCCAGTACCACCAGTACCAGCCCTCGGTCACCCAGCGGTTTTTTTCTCGCTGGTTGCTCACCTGAATCAAAAAGAAAAAGAAGGGCAAGGCGAGAAACTACCCCCCAGGGTGGCTGGCCCTAGTCTCAGAGTATCGCGAGAAGGAAAAAGCAATGCGCGTTACGGATGGATACCTAGTGTACGCAGTACATACACACTCTGTCTCTCAAAGTCTCTGTGTGGCCCCCATCACCCTTTCAGTAAGTATATCTCCCTCTCCGCCTTGTCATCGTTCGCTCAAGGCGTCCTTTGACGGCCCTGTCGCTACCTAGGCACACATACACACGCACTATACTGCGTACGTCTGCGCCTTGCAACGTGACTGGTGAACCTGGGGCGGGTTCCAGCGGACGGAAGATGCCCAATTTCTGCAGACCGACGCGTAGGCGTAGCGGATGCGCAGGAGAGCCAGACCCGGGTACGGGTACGTATCCGTACGTACGACACAATGATAGCGTGCAGTAGATAATCTTGGGAAGACTGCCAAACTGGAGCCCAAAAAGTCCAAAGTGGCCGGGGTCAGGGAGAGGAGCCAGGGGACCAAAGGCAAGGATCAAGTGAACAGCCAGGGGTTGGGAAGGGGAGGGGGGTGATCCGGGAGAGGAGGGGGGAGGGGAGCAGCAGCGGGCGGTTGGGCCAGGGCCGAGATCGATTCGATATGAGTGAACCTTCTTTTGCAGTGCTATCTCATTCTCCAGTGTTGTGTCCGTACGGATACCCAAAGGATAAGATCCGAGGCTGGACTCCTATGTCATGGTACAGAAGACATATTACTATGTATAGGTATAGGTAGGGCTCGCTCTCGGCACGGGAAGGCAGGGCAGGATGCTGCCGGGTTGCGTTGTGATAGGTATGCTGCAGGTCATCAAACATCATCAGACGAGGCGGAAAGGGCCTGGGCCAACACGGCCACCACCTACAGATACATAATACGGATACACATTGGGCGCAACCTCGTGGCTCCCAGGTTGGGTTCCATGCTTCCCTCAAGAGAGACATCATCGCGGGTACATATCTGTTGCCTTGCACCTAGATGAGCATCAAGACATCCCCGACACCCCTGTTTGCGCGCGTGTATGTCGTGGGTGTCATGCCGCTGCCACAATCTGCATCTGCAGTGTGCGCTGATGTGCTGCGCGCGTTGCGTGCTGCTGCGGCTTGGCTTTTTTTTGTCCAGACTCCGCTTCGATGTGCTGTCAGTGTCATAATAATCGTCACTCTTACACATGCGCAGACACCCACGCAGAGTACTTGTGTATGCGTACCCAAAGTAGTTGCGTAGGTACTCAAGTAGGCATCTGTATCTGCGGTTGAGAACACGAAGAAACGCCTCCCCCGGTACGGACGTATGCAGAAGGAAAAAGATAGATGAGTTGCAGATTCCTATGAGACTTGTGTCTCGTTCAGTATGACCAGCAGCATCTCAGCAAGCCCCCCCTGCCTCACGTTGGGATTGGTTCGGCACGAGGAAACCCCTCTTTCCCAGGGATTGCTTATATTCCCGTGTACTTATTTGCACAGTACCCGTATAAGTTGTCAGTGGTTTGTTTAGTTTTGTGTGGTTGATGTCGAAAAAACATGACGCCCTATCCGCAACTGGGACCCTAATCCGCGGCACTAAGATAAAATCCACAACTCTCCGATCGATAGACGAAGCAAGACTTGTCAAAAAGTCGATAGTCGACAGGAGGAGCTCCAGGGACAGGCCTCCGAGACGTCTACCTATGGGCAAAGATCCGGGGAAGACGGACCAATAGGCGATGCGTCGAGTGGCGTAAAAGGAGGTGCTGCATCTCGCTCTAAGAAGCGGTTTAGCAGGTTTTGGCCTAGTTGTGGAGAGTCTGTTTTTGCTTTTTCACAAAGTATTTGCCCCTCATCAACAAGTCAACCTCCTTCGGGCCCATTCCCGCTGGAATATGGATCCGCGATGAATACAAATCTCGCAAACCGCGTCAAAGACAAGAACCTCGGAATGGTTAGTGGACATGGCCTGTTAAAGCCCTTTTACCCGCTGCCTTGGTCTCGCTTCCCGTGGGTTCGTGGGCTCGGGTTTTTGACTGCCGTGTTGTGTTGAAATGTATAGCAGCATGCGCATTGTAGTTGATTGTGCGATTACTTCGCCCCGAGCTCTCTGCCTGAGCTTAGCTTTTGCTTGAGCTCTTTGCTTGAGCTCAATGTGTATACGTCAAGTTGCAGTTTCGGCTCTGCACCATCATGCCTTCTGCTACCCAACACCAACACACAAATACGAAAAGAACCCAGAAAGAGAAACGCCTCGCAATCATAAACGACCACAAAATCCTACATTTGGCTCTCCTCAATTTCGAACGACAGGGCAAAACGCCCGTTCTAACACTAAACCTAACGGCCTGTGCCCAGTGACATATCCCACCGCTGGCACTCGTCCAAACACCTTGACTATTGGACTGCTACCGATATTTCCCACCTCATCCCCTGGCAATCCCTTCTCGTCAACCCCGAAAGGAAAATGTGACGAATGACGACCCGATCGACTGGGCCTGACGATTGCGCTTGGGAGGAGCCAAAGAAAGTTGCCGACGTGCAGCAGCCCCGTTCCGTTGGTGCTGACGGACTGGAGCCTGACAGAAATGCTGACGGACTATGGCTGGCCAGCATGGATGATGGATGGATGGATGGACTACCTCAGGCAGGCAGGTATTCATACCTAGTCTAGTTAGTTGCACAGCTGTACTTATTCAGACCGAGAACACCATCATAATCAACGTATTCAGGCTGAGGGATCCGAGATACAACACGATCATGGTGTGATCCAACGATTTCTCCCTACCTACGGATATTGTACTCCAGTCTCTCCAAGTCTCAGTCTCACTATCCGATTCCGACTCCCGACTTTCCCACCCATCCCAAATTCCCCATCCCTAGCCTCGCTTCAGCGTGACGTGACAACCTACTTTACTTAGTACATCCCCATCTCCAGCCATCACGAAACATATCAACCCTCACAAAACAAATTCCGATCCAAGTGAAGAATTTTATCTTCCACCACACCCCCATTTCACCTAACTAGCTAGCGCCGAATCGAAATGTCCAGTGCCCAATGTGATCCGCAGCTCCAATTCCTAAGTCATAGCTAAACCCTACACAGCAGTCCTTGACGACAACGAACCGTAGGAGCACTCGAAAAAGCAATAATACAGCGTCCCCGGGTCCCACGGAATCAACTTCCGGACCACCACAACCAACAACTGACACCACCACGATCGACAAGCCACGCGCCGGACGCCCGCTTTCCCAGCCAGCCAGGGCACGCCGCACAGGTCTCCAAGAAAAGAGACATGGGGGGGGGGGCGCCGTACCTTTCCTTGTGTCTCTGCAGATAGGATACCTAGGTACAGTAAGTACGCCGTCGGATGTGCTCTCTTCGACGATCAGCGGTGTGTCGTGCGTGCTGCGTTGGTGGGTTTTTGGCCTTTTCTTTCTTTCTGCAAATAACATAAAACGCTCAACGGGCGAGAAAAGGGATGTGGGAAGCTGAACGGCAGAGAACCTGGTCGAGCTGGTGTCGAGCTGGACTCGGGAGCAGCGCTCGGATGGACAAGGGTCTTGCAGGCTACGGATACAGATACACAAGGGAGCATTAAAAGGGATACACTTGTTCGTTTTGCCGATGCCTAAGATGGTCCAAAGGTGGCTGAACAGCTAGCTGGTCATACTGATCCTACCGACATCCGATACCCATCATCTAGGTCTCTGTTCCATAGTTTAGGGTTCAAACATTGACCATCTCCACCCCCTTGTACGGCAGTCGGGTTCGCGTGTAATACGAACTACCAGCCCTGAAATACCGCGTGAAAATAGCCGCTCTCGGTTCGAACTTGGCGAGACAAGAGACGGAGAATCAGGGTCGCAATCCTCACTTCTCCAGCAAACGGCTGAGCACCCGGATGATGCACATATCTCGACAGTCGTCATTGCGCCACTGCTGTGGCACTGGAACTGCATTCCTTTGCTATGCGGATGGCTTCAGTGTCTCAAATTGGGTATCTCAGGAAGCATGGCTCGCAGAGTCGCAGCCTCCTTGCTTCCGGCCTCACACGTATATTGAGCCTGGGCAAATTGGCCCCAGAGCGTGTTCCCCGAGTGTCCCCTTCAATGATACCAATGGATCCTCTTGACAACGTTGTAGCAATTCGGAGGATTTGCACGAAACCGGGTACCTTTGCGCACGTTGCACATTCGAATCGGAAACGTTTTGTCGATGACGATTTGGCTTGGCTCCTGGCCTCCCGCAAGAGCCGCATGTCAAGCTCTCAGCGTGTCTCCACTCACTCTACGATGTCCGTCAAAAGAAACTGAAATGCTCGGGTTCGACGCACGGTGTTACGTTGGGGGATATGCGTGGAGCTCGAGTTGCACAAACACCTGGCATTTTGCGTGGTGACGGCAAAAAGAAAGCCTTCGCAAGTCTGATTCGCTGTCCTTGCTGGGCCGCATGAGGGACCTAGACGGTGGCTTGAGGCGGTCTGGGAGGTTCTTGGCGCCATGATCAACTCCTGAATTGCATAGAAATGCAGGGAATACTCTGCGAAAGCTAGGCGGATGCTGACTTGTAGACGACATCAATCGTTACGACTGACACCGGCGCAGAACAGTCGCCGAGTAGCCTACATCTAGGCACTGGTGCTGAAGTAATAGTTCTCCCACAGATACTCATAGTCCTCCAGAATGCCACCGACCAGGTTGGGTACTCTGGATCGCACGCCGCCGACAACACCCTTCATGATGTTCTCGTAGAATGCTCCGCGCATGGTCCACCAACCCATGGCCCAGCCTCTCTTGCTCCATTCGTCGCGTTCGAGGGGCGTTGTCCTGAAGCCCCGGTCTCTGAGTTGCCGTGCTGCGTATTCGACGCTCAGACCGACTAGCCACGGTGTCCATGACTTCTTATTCTTGCTTTTCGACAAAGCAATGGCATACACCAACGGGGCGAGGATGTGTAACACCTCTGCTGCCTGTGCACTGCCCTGTAGCTGATTTAGCAGCTTTGCAGCTGGTTTGATATCCTCTGCCGTCAATACCTTGCCCAGGAGATAGCCGCTGATATCACCAGCATTGGGCAGCGAGGGAAGGCTCATGCCCGTTCTGGGCATCGTCCAGTCCTTCTCATGAGGCTTCTGGGCCTCACCGCTGTCTTCCGGTGCGTGCCCATTGGTCGGCTCTTCCAGTATATCCTTCAAAGCGGCATCACTTTCGGCCTCGGTTTCTTCAGGGATAGGCTCACGTTCCGGGAGAACGGGCGACACAAGGGGTCGAGAGCGCGTCACACGCAATAGTAGCAGGCGGCAGACGGCCTTGATAGCCTCCAAGAGCACGACGACGCGCCATCGACTGCGCTCGCCGCCACGTCTCTTGGCAGCCATCTCGCATAGTAGCTGTGTGTATGTGACCATCTGCAGTAACATGGCAATGCGCCGGTACATGGGACTGCGTTGAGTCCAGTATTTCGTATATCGGGCATGAGGGGATGGCAATCGCGCCATCGGGATGCGCGACAGGGCGCGCATAAGAAGGGTATCATGATATAGAGAGAGGAGCTGTACACTCGAGTGGACAGTTTCGGAAGCAATCTCGGCGTCGCGGAATCGACCTTTGAGAGCCAGTATTAGACGGGCGATAGCGAACACAGTTCTTGTATGGAGAATGCCTTACCAGGAATGATGTACGTGAGGGACCGTAAAGCCGACTCTATTTGAGAGACCTGACTAGAGTTCTTGGTGATGAACTCTTCGTACATGTGAAGCCATTGCGGCGGTAATGAAAGAACGGCGCGGATTTTGGACGGCTGATGCGATAGCCGCGTCTTGTTGGGGATATCGGCGGAAGTCGACATGGTGGAAGATTCAAATCATTAGGGCGTGGCGAAGGTTTGCGACGGTTGCGCAACGAATAGTCGAACAAGTGGGATTGAATGAGCACAGAGAGAAAGCGCGCGGCGGTGATGTCAGCACGAAGAGAATGAAGAAGAGGAAGAAGAGGACGAAATGTCAAATATGAAGCGGTTGTAAATGACAACGCAGCGACGTTGGGATTTGTGAAGGAAGTGAAAGTGGTTGGCGGAAGTGCGAATTAGGTATTAACGTAGGTAAGCTATCTCACAAACGCCAGAGTCGAGGTGGTGCAGGTGTATCTGTAGGTGCAGACGGGATGGTGGATGGTTTAATGACGGAAAGTTGCAGGGACCTCGGTGGGCACGCTCATCGCGACTGACGTGGAGTGCGCCTGTTGCTCCTGTGCTCCTGCTGATCTGACCTGAGCCCGCGGGCGACCGACCGTAAGCCGAGGTCGCGGCGTCGCCTGCCACCTCTCGGCCCTGCCACCTCAGGCAAGTACGCTGGGTCTCTG